TTTTTTTTTTTTTTTTTTTTACACTGCTTAGTGCTGCATCAAGAGTTAAAATACTCTGTGGTGCCAGCACATAGAAGAATCAGACCACAGCTCTCTGACGAAAAGCGGCCCAATTGGAGAAGTGGTCACAGCTAAAGAGAAGCAGTCTAATGTCCAATATGCTGGCAGTCAATATTCTTTAACCCTTGCTGTAGCACTTAGTAGTGAAAAATAAAACAGCCCCAAATGTACTATTGTGTACGCAGCATGCCTGCATTACAGTAATAATGAGGCTTGACTTGGTCTTTAAGAGAATGTTCAGTCTGCCACTCTGTTATTAAGTTGCTACATAAAGTTGCATGTCTTTAAATGGAGAAAGGTGCATGTTATCATTGACAAAGATAAGCTGTGTAATATACACAGGAGAAAAATGACAGCAGCTATGTAGCTGGAAATAATTATTTTGTATCTAATGCTGAAAAAGTAGTTTGGCCTACACACTGGCCACAGTGTGTCAAGACAGACATGAGTAATCATGAAAAACAGAAAAGTCTGGATGTGTAGCTACAGAAACATTGCCATTATTGTGGTGTTTTTACTGTTAATACATAAAATACATACAGTTACATATTTATGGAGAACATCAAAGACTTGGCTTGAATATCAGAAACTACTGGGGCTGAGTTTCCTTTATCCTTTGTATATTTGGCTTTATAGCAGGCTTCCTCTAAGATCTATATTAGATGAAAACATATCATTATTAAATAAAATCATAGAAATAATTAATTTACAAAATGCTGAAATGGCCCCAGGCACTGTAAGCCTTTTGTGGATTCAAAGTGCAATGACATTTTTTTTTCTTTTTATTCGGAAGCAATGGATGTGTTTTGACGTGGCTAGTGTAGTTTGAATATCTTTTTGCTTCTCATTTACATAAAGCATTGCAAAAAAATAATCCAGATGTCATGATTGTCTTTGTTTTTCTATCTGCTACACTTGTACAGTTCTTCCTCAAATACATTAACATATAGATTAAGGGGCATATTTATAAAGCAGTCAATCTGACATTTAGAAAACATTCACTGCTGGTGAATCTTCCAGGTGCATGTGTTTGAACAGACTTGTCGACTTTACACTGAAAGCTGAGCTGCTGCCAGACCACTTCCAGGGGCTGGTGCAGGGTGCCCCCGATGTGACACAACCACCTTGCTTCCCACGCTTCACTGCCCCTCCTGCAGGCCTGGGACTGGCATCACAGGTGTCAGTGGGAAGCTAGAAAGAAGACCGGCGAACATCTATTTGCCAATCTCCTCCCCGCTGAATGGGACCAAAAGTGATGCTGATTGCATCTCTTCCAATCCCTCAGCTGTCTTTGCTCAGTTTCAGAAGGCAGGCAAGGAGCTATTGGACCACAATCTATGTTCCAATGGCATCTTTGGAGTGCAAAGGTGACACTAGGGGTCTATTAGATCTGTCACCACTAGTATGCTATCACATAGGGGGTTTATAAGCCCCCTTATATAATAGCAGTTAAGTTATGTAAAAAAATTTTCTTTAAACTGATGACCTGTACAGTCTTTCAAAGCGTCGTCTATGGACAATTTGGTGTACCATATGTTGTTGCCATTTCACGGACGCACGCAATTTTTAACCTGGTCATGTTGGGTATCTATTTACTTGTCGTAACCTCCTCTTTTATAGTGTCCAAAAAAATGGGTATTTATATTGTGTTTTTGGGCACTAAAATTTACTTTAGTGCATTTTTGACTGAATGTTTGGGTTTGATCAAGAGTTGCGCTAATATTTTGCGACATACAAATTTGCAACTGCCACCTTTTTTGGTTGTTAATGCCGTCTTTATCAAAGACCTTTATTCTATTTCTTTGATTTCAGAAATATATCATATTTGGGGGGTTTTAAGTATTTTTCAGGCCTAAAATGTGGATTATAACATGTGTGCAAAAAAGGACATGGCAGCAAAAGGATTAAACTGTTGTTTACTAGATGGAACATTTTTAAAATCAATTAAGGGGATTTATCGAAACTGGAGCAGACAGAATCTGTTGTGGATGCCAGCTTCTCTTTTATTTTAAAATCTTAACTGATCAAACTGAAGAGAGAAGCTGATTGGGCAACTGCTCCAGATTCTGTCTGCTCCCGTTTCGATAAATTCCCCCCAATGTATATAAGAAAGGTGAAATCCTTTATTATATTTATTGGTATTGCTAAATTTTAGTTTGAAAAGATTTTGTTTTATGAAATTATTAATGACTCTATTAAAAACCGTTCTGCTGTTAGCATTGCTTATCAAATGGTACATGTA